CTGAGCACTACTTCAACTTTTTCAGGGTTTACTAACACACTCTCTTTTGATATGATGTACCCTAGGAAGGTACTCTGCTCAAGCCAAAACTCACACTTACTCAACTTTGCATATAGCTTCTTCTCTCTGAGAACTTGCAAAACTTGAGTCAGATGATAAGCGTGTTCCTCTCTACTTTTTGAATAAACCAAGATGTCATCGATGAACACAATGACAAATTGATCCAGGAATTGTCTGAAAATCCTGTTCATCAAGTCCATGAAGATGACTGTAGTATTGGTTAATCCAAATGGCATGACCAGGAACTCATAGTGTCCGTACTTAGTCCGAAAACTGTTTTGGGGATGTCTTCTGCCCTGATCTTCATCTGATGGTAACCTGAATGCAGGTCTATTTTGGAGAAGATCTGCGCACCCTGCAACTAATCAAAGAGATCATCAATCCTAGAGAGGGGATACTTGTTCTTGATCGTGACTCTATTCAGACCTCTGTAATCAATACATAACTTCAACGTCCTATCTCTTTTTCTTACAAATGTGACTCCGGCACCCCAAGGGGACACATGTCGGATGAATTCATTGTCCTGTAATTCAGTGATTTGTTTTCTCAGTTCCTTCATCTCAACACGACTCATGCGATAAGGAGCAACCGAAATAGGCTGAGTGTCTGGCTGAAGATCTATGGTGAATTTAACTTCTCTGTCCACTGGCAGTCCAAGTAGTTCAATCGGAAATACATTTAGAAAGTCTCGAACTATCAAAATCTCTTGAATATAAATTTTTTTCTTGGGTTTGCCTAGTTAGAGAAAACAGTTGGGTTAAAGTACTTGATAATAAGAAAATTTGTCATGAGGAAACAAATGTTAAACGATTTTATTAATTCGTAAATGACTCCTCATTAGGAGGGTTGAATACAACTTTCTTGCTAAAATAATCTACGGTGGCATGATACGTCGCTAGTCAGTTCATTCCTGAAATTACATCAAAGTCTCACGTATCAATTTCTATTAGGTCCATACTCAATTTTCTTTCTGTTATATTTATGACACAGGCTTTGTATACAACCTCTCCCAATAGTGTCCTACTCCTAGGAGTAAACACAAACAACACATAATCAAGTTTTTTAGGTAATACATTTAATTTTGAAGCAAAAACATGTGGGTCCCATGATCCTTGCCACAATGCTGACAGATCTTGTCGCGTCCTAGTGCGGTCAACCTGTAAAGAAGGAAACGGTGATCACAACGGTAGAAAAATTACGCAGAATGGGAATTAGGAAGGATCTCATCGGAGGTGTTTTGTGAAATTTCCCGCAGCGGCGCTGCCGGGCTTTGCCCGTATTTTTCGGTCAATCGGCCGATCCTTTTACTTCGATTTGGCCATAGAGTTGTTTAAAATTGAATTCCGAGCAAATGAAAATTTTTTTACCTCTTTTGGCAGTCGGAAAGGGCTCCGATGCGGCAGCGGGTGGCGGCGGCTCTCATTCCCGGCGGCTGAGTCTTCTTCTCCAGAAAGGACGTATAGCAGCTAAGGTTAGAGTTTGGTGTGAAGATGATTATTTATATCCGTCCCCATCTAATTTGGACCGTCTATCGCATTTGATCTGAACCGTTAGATCGCGATTAAATAGGAAATGAATCTGAACTGTTCATTGCGATCTAATTTAGGTCATCATCACGATCCAATCTGGACCGTCCGATCACATTTAAATCTGATCGTCCGATCGCTTTGGGGAGGGAATGCATCCAAACCGTCCGTGCGCACGAAAATAAATCTGAATCGTTCGATCGTGAGTACGTAGATCGCCCGCGTGATACCGCGTCAACATCCGTTGCTACGCAACATGTTCTGGTTCGCCGGGACTACTAACCGAGCATTATACGTGGTACAAATTTTTTAAATTATATTTTAACTTCTGATTTTCAATTTTTCTTTCAAAAATATTTTAATGATTCAAATTTTTACTCATTTTTTTCAAACTCGTTTTCAATTTCTTTTTTTATCAAATTTCTTCTATTTTTATACTAAATTAAAATTAAAAAATTAAAAAATTACATTTATAAATTAATTTTAAATTATATTAAAATTAAAATTAGTTGTTACAAGGTACTCTGCTGATTTGCGGTTCCAAAGTAAAAATCGATACATGTATACTGTCAGCCTCCATACTGCTAACAAGTCTATTTCAACTAGCAAAACTATCATCCTCTTTCTCTGAAAATGCTCTTCTCACTCTAACCCTTTCACCATTGAAGTGGATGTACTTCCATTTAGATAGGTATCTTCTAAGAACCAACTTCCGCCTTCGCTCTTGACCTAGATCCCTGAAAGCACTTGCCACTCTCCTGACTGTATCCTCATCTGGTCTCACACCCAACTCCTCCATGTCTGCAAACACCTGAATTTCCAGCAATCAAAAGGTCGAAAGTTTGCATGCCACCCAAAATTTACCAAGAAATATATTACATGGTAAAAAAAAAAAAACAGAAAGGAAAGTGCAAGATGCAGAAAATGAGATGTAACTGGAAGTGGAAAAGTATTTTCCATGTATTCTTTTGCAAGAATAGCTGGTCTTCTCCTTTTCTTTTCTTTCTTTTGAGTGGATACCTACTCCTTTTGTATTATGTTCTCTCGTAACAATCTTCCTTTTATATCAAAAAGTATTTTCCGTACCTCTACTATTTTATCTTGCATATTATGATGATCGTACAAAGAGATCATCCTAGAAAATAACCGCTTTGAGATTGAACGAGTGTGTGTATGCAAAATCATATTCCACAATGAATCAGCCTCATCCACCCTCTGATCCATATCAAATGCCAGAAGAAGGGTATCATATGTGCCCATCGTTGCACCTTGGCCTTTGCTCAACATCCATTTCGCAACCTGTTTATTATGTAACCAATTCAGCCACATTATACAGAAAAATAGGCCAGAAATCATAGCCTTTTCAGCCACATTATTCAGAAAAATAAGCCAGAAATCATAGCCTATATTGCATTCGTCAATCCTCATCACAAGAGAAAATGTAAGCTAGACCAACATTGAGCATATGGAGCATATGTGAGATATTTAACTGGATGCGAACATTATTGTTCTTCTCTCATGTGATTTACCTATGAAGCTTCATTAAAATAAAATAGTCAACAACGAACACAAAAAATCTGTGACAAATATCTGACTTAAAAAATATCACCTGCTTACATAAGACTTCTTTCAACAAGATCAGAATCACGTTTTCACAGGCCAGTGTGATACAAGAGTCTTAGTTTGTTATGGTTTCATTATTTAGGATTATAGTCATATTCAGCTATGTGGATGATTCAACACTATTTTAACAGCTTGTGACAAATTTAATAACACGCTCAGTGATTAAATTTATGATTGTGGTAATGAAAATTCTGTAGTTGCAGTTGTTGGCAATCACTATGGTTGTGGATGACCTTTTTTTTTCAACTTTTCTTTACTTGTTTTAAACACTATTCTGATCTGCTACATCAGTTGAGTAAAGAGAAAAGACCTTAAAGCTCTATCTAACCTTTTTGTGTTTGCAGTCTTATCATTGGAGCATAGCCTCAGAATTTTTAATACCACCATTTTTTAATTCCAAAAAGAAAAAAAGAAATTCATCTGACCCGCCGGTTTTCTGGTGCTTAAAGGTTTTTCTAGCTAGTAAATCACCATTTGAAGTAAGATATCATCAAAAAGGCCAAATATGGCCTTTGATTTGTCGGTGCAACTGACATATGATCATGCAACCAGCATTCACACGAGATAGACAAGTACTAGTCATGGGACTAACACCTGGTTGTGCAACCAAGAATTGATTACATAAAGTGATGCAGGATGAGTAGCAGTTAAATTAACTTTTCATGTGAATAGTTTAGAAATAGAGAAAATCTAAATGAAGCATAGTAAAGCATAGATAAGACAGGAAATCAGGGATCAAGGTGAATAAATAACAAGGCCACCAAGCCTTGATTGCACAGATATAGTGCTAATAGTAGGTCGATCCAGCACATCGCCTCAAGATATTTCAAGAGAATCTATAACTCGTGTTTTATTTTCTTAAACTAATATTTTAATAGTTTATTATAAATATTTGAAACTATTAAATATTTTAAAATTTACTTGAAAGAAAATAAAGTCAAATATTTTTTCTAAAACTTTTGATAATCTTAATAATGCTTACTATGATTATAAAGCATAAATTTATTAGTTTAGTTAAAAAATACTCTACATAATAACCTATTGTGTAAATAATTACATAAACAAAAAATTAATGTAAAATTTACGGCTGATACAACACATAAGAGCGTTTCAGTTAACTAGAGGTTAATCAGCCTACCAACTAAATAAAAGAAAGCTTATGCACAAAACTAGATTAATTAAATCACAAATGCCTTCTAATTTTATTCTATTCCACCCTTTTTCCATTCAACAAACCAAATGTCTCATAGAACAAATAAGGGAAGTTTAGATATTAAGCATGGAGCAACTTTCAGAGAATATCACATTATTTAAATGACTAAGCAGCAGAAAAGTTAGTTGGGGCATCCCCTCCCACTGAGTGAAAAATATTTTTGAAAAATGACATTCTCTGGGAATCTGCTAAAGTTTAGCAAGTTATACCATGAGTTCAAAAATATTTGAGCTGACACTAACATACTTGAATGACGTGCAGCCACTGACTCCTCTTTTTTAAGATTCGTAAAGCCTTAGCTGCTGCAATCAATGGAAATTCTGTCTCCCACACAATCCATTTATTCAATGCTTGATAAACAGCCTCTTTCTCACTGGGAAGTTCAGAGATCTGCTATTCAAAATTTATAATCAAATAAAGAAATTCATAGATGCAACGCTACACCTATATGCTGATTTTACGCTCTAAAATGCTAGTTAGAAGTAGTTCACCCCTCAAAAACTTGTATGTCCTCAATAGTTGACTCACATTTGAAGCGTCAAAACCAGAAAACAAGATTGAAGAAAAGACTTTCACTCACAATTCTAATAAGGTTAAGTGCTTTATGGCCAGAACCAGCTGAATCTCTTTTCTTCCACAAATGGTGCTCTCTTGTTCTAGCCTTCTTGATCTCTTTTCTACTAAAGATGCCAAAATATCAGGCAATTGTGGGAAACTAAATCAAGTAGTATTGATGCAAATAATCATGAAAGAATTGTCGTGCACATATAATCAAAAATATGAGCAACACTAAAGCTATGTTCAAGAATTTTGTCTGTGGGACTTCTGTAAATCTGCACTTGTTTTAAAGATGACGGTGAAAATTCCTTATAAGATGGTAAAAATTAAGTCGAATTAAGAGAATACATTTCAAATTCCATCAAAATATATTACCTTAAACTTAGAATTTTCTAGTATGCCCATTTTTATCATTTTGTGGGGGGAGATCCTAGTTAAAATTAATCTGAATTTGCTAAAGAATTCTACCCCCAAAAAAAGTCTAATTTGTTCCAAATGTAGTGTAAATGCTAAACGTAAAATAAAAGTTATTACCAAATAGTTGGCAAAGAAAGATCTTAATTTGACACAACGACAGACCTATCAACGGATTTGGAACTGAGAAGTGGTTGTCTAAAACGCTTGTGAGTGCCTTTGAGGTAAGGAATAACGGCCACCTGCATATTGGAGATCCTTCATCATAATGGTAGGAAATATACCAAAAGCCAAACACAA